TCCCATTGATTTAGCTTGGAAAGCGGGGAGAATGGCGCTAGGCTTACCGCACTGTGACGTCACTGCTGGAAGGTGGCAGGAACTGGGAAATTTTTCCGGCCAGCTGAAGATTTAACAAGCTTTTATCAATCAAAAAGTATGTTTTTCTCACATATTTAAGTTCACTTTCAGCTTAGACACACATCCAAACCAAAGAGCAGAGGAACAGACTGGATGTAGGGAACAGTCTGGGATCAAGTGTTTTTCACTCTGAGCTATCAGAGTGTCTGGATGAAAACAAATAAAACTAAATAAGTCAGTCTGACTATACTTTTTGTTCCCAATTCATCAACTTTTATGTGATTATAATGGGTGACAATAGGTGAATAAACTTTTGGCTCTCCAAATAGTATCGGTACCCTATTGGTTGGTACTCGCCCATACCGATACCACCAAATCTGTCCTTACTTTTTTTCTTGCTTTACTTTTACTTTTATACTATAGGTAGTTTTTAAAGTGATACTTTTACTGGAGTAAACGTCTTAAGTTTATACTGTATCTTCTACAAACTATCTTTTGTTTTTATTTTTAAGCAGCAGGGATTTCTTCTTCTTCTTGAGTAATAAACATTAATACTTTTGATAGCTCTGACTTTAAAATAAAAGAGTTGAGATGTTCTACCTGGCAGGGGTCGGCAGCAGCGATGGTCTGAACTGCTTTCAGTGCCAGCAGACAGATGTCCTCCCGCGCCGTGATGAGAAGGTAGGTGACGATGAGTGCGAGGGACGAGGACAGACGCTGGCTGGACGGTAGGCCCGAGGTCACAGCCAGCAGCCAATCGGTGGCTGCGGACGGATCATCGTCGACTTTGAACAATATGGACAACGCCGCGCTGAGCTCCCAGTACCAGGAGCTGAGAGGGAGCGCCAATGTTGGGCCGGGCTGAGGATTGGAACAGGAGAGATGAAAACGCATCATGAAACATGAAAAAACAGAAACCTTGAAAAGCGTGGCGTTCACCCTAAATCAGTCACTTATTCTACAGAAGCCCTCTGTTACTAATCGCTTCTAAAAACAGGGGAGCGAATCAGAAAAGCATCATCCGCCCCCTGCTGCCTCCCTGGATGCTGTTCCAGCTGGAAGCTTAAAGATACGGAAGAGGATTAGGGTGGCGGCCGGGGGAGGGGACCCTGGCGGTCCGATCCTCGGCTGCAGAAGCTAGCTCTTGGGACGTGGAATGTCTCCTCGCTGGTGGGGAAAGAGCCGGAGCTAGTGTGTGAGGCTGAGAGGTTCCGGCTAGAAATAGTCGGTCTCACCTCAAC